GATGCCCTTGTTACTAGTAGCTACTTGTTCCTAGCAGTAGGGCCAGGCGGCTCCTAGTAGCGATGCCCTTGTTACTAGTAGCTACTTGTTCCTAGCAGGGCCAGGCCCTAGTAGCGTCGCTCCTAGTAGCGATGCCAGGAGCCCCTAGTAGCTTGTTCCTATTAGCCACGTGGATGGGCCTTTCTCCTCCACGGGGCAGCTTCTTTGTCAACTCTTGGATAGTGGAAGATACGCAGGTAGTTTTGAGGGGCAGCTCAGTTTCTTTGAACTATACCCTGATAATGTGATGTCTGTCCCAAGAAATGCTCGGGTGGATGATGGTGGAAGCCTGCCACGAGTTCGGTGTCTACGGTGCACAGCAATTCAATTCTACTGTTTCTGCAATAAGCAGCACCTGCACCCTTTCCAGTGGATGCATATATATATATATGTATGTATCACCACGCGCACCGGGATCAGCACGGGAAACGTGCCCGGTGTTGTATCAGGCACCCTGACCTGTGTACAAAGGGAAGGCCCCAAAGAAACGCGCAAGCAACCTAAAGAAAAGGCAGAAAAACTTAAGTCTAATATTATCACTGAAGTTCAGTCCGACAAACAGGTGCTGGCTCAGGATCCGGCACGGCACGTGGTGAACACGATTTCTTCGAGAGAATGCTGAGCGGTGCCCTGAGCAGCTGTCCAAAGGGGCCCAAGCTTTGGTGGTATTTAAGGGAGAGAAAAGCTGAGAAAAGGTACGTTGGGGTGGCTATAATTAATTTAGGTGATCACAGTGGTGGTCGGTCTTGATGGTTTTTGCATGTTTTTTGCCCCTCAACAGGTATCTTGAACACTTTGTTGCATGGTTCCTGTTGATCCCCAGGCTTCCAGGGCCCAGTCACCTCATTCTGTTCCACGTCAGAATCAAGTTCCTAGGGCCAAAAAGGCCACTTAGAAGCGGGGCCACCTTCGAAGTGCAGCTTTGCTTAATTTGGATGACCCTTTTCCAGCTTACCTAACTCACTTTGAGTTTCTCCTTCAAAACATATCAAAACCATGACACCCATACCTCATGACACCTGGCCTAGGGCTCACAGGCGAGTCGGGCTCTAGCCGCGACAAGGCCATGTCAGTGCCTTGGGAGCGCGGACAGCGGCCCAATGGGAAACAGCACGTCCGAGCCGAACGGGGCGGATGGGTCTGAAAATGATATCCCCCAAGGGAAAGAGTCAATCGCGAAGGTTGTCGGATCAAAAACATTGAAAATGTAAACCAGCATTAGTTTTGGACGATGTTTCCCCCGCAAGGTTCAGGCTTCCAACCTCCCACAACGGTGGCTGCAGGCATCTAGGCCCCATTTTGCAGGCCGCACGATCCAGGAATCTGACCCTGTCCCAAACGGTTGGTGTTTCATCGGCGACCTAAAGATGTCCGAGGGGCGTTTTGTCCTTCGCACTGGTTGGAAGTCCATTACTCTCTGCCAGGCTTCACTCACATCACCGCATATATGGATCATTTGGCTTGTATACACCAAAGGACACTTGGAGGTAAAACTGAGACCAAGGAAACTGTCGGAATTTAACTGTACAAACCCATCCATTGTGAGGTATCCACACATTACACACCAAAACACACATCATCAAATTATTCATATTATATACATTAAAATATATACAGTATACACATATATATATATATCACATAGTCATACATATTTAGCAACGTACCCTCAACTGGGTCTTCCCCACGTCCTCGAAGAAGCCGTAAGGTTGTGCGGGTGTTCGCCGCCTCAGGGGGGTGCGGCAGTCATTTCTGGGGTAGGGCTTCCCCAAAACCAAACTAGGATGCTATCTATGCATTTCATAGCGGGCTCTGCTCGTCTTCTTTCGGCCAAAAAATGTTTGAGCTCAGTGCTCAGTATCTGTTTAATCAGATGCGTCTCTACCTGACATGTTGCCTGAAAAAACTGCGGCCCCTACAACCATACCCTTCTCCTCCAGGGCAAAGTCGCAGGCTCCTGGCCTGGCACGGACACTTCCCTAGCGCTTGGCAAAAGTGCGGGGTGCAGCACAGGAGTTGACGGGTGTTTTGCCTCATCCATCTGATTCGTTCCACACGAGTCGTTTCGCAAATCCCCATGGGCGATGCGTCAATTCCATGCGCTTCCCGCCAATCCTGGAAGTTCGCAACGCAGCTCGAAAGTGATCGCGCCTGTTCAACAAGGGCCCTTCCAGCGCCACCACCTGATGTCAGCCAGGGCATTCAAATGGCCGGTGCTTGGATTCACAATTTCCAAGGCCGGTGTGGGGAAGGGCTGACAAGTTCCAGCGACTCAGTGACCCTCTGCACAAGGGGTCCGGAGGTGTTCTGGCTCTGTTTGAAAATGGGTCGGATCATCCAGGCAAAGATAGGAAACAACCAAAAAACAACAGCCCCTTTTAAAGAAGGTTTCTTGAACACTAGGTCTTCCACTTTCATAGCTTTGGGTGTGCGTGCTGTACGAGTCAACATCACTGCTTGGTGCAAACGTTGCATCAATAAACATGGTAACTACAAACTAAACTACAATCCATCAATTCAAAGAAATGCACCTGTGAAGCCGGTGGCCGTTGGATGCTTTTGGACGGCAGTTGCAGTAGTAGAAAACCCTGGCCAGGCGCACACGGCAGCCTCGTCCACAGGAGCCCTGGGGCGCTCATCCTCAGCTCCCAAGTCCAAGTCCTCTCGCATCAGTTGGAGGCGCACGGAGCCTAGGCAGTTGGCTCGAAAGTTCACAGAAAAGAAAGAGACTGTGACTAGACTGTACTTTCATGAATGGAGTACAAAATGGAGTACAAAAAGAGCCATGTTCCATGGCTCACAACGGAGTACATGTACTTAGTACTTCTTAGGAATGGACACGGCGGCTCTGAAATCAAAGCGGTTGTGTTCGGGCTGAAGCCCGTCAGAGTCACTTGTCGGGATTTTACAGAATTGTCCTGTTGTACTTTATTACTGTTTGTTGTGCTACTTCTGCGTGTGTAGATGTGCGTACAGTAAGTCTGTCCTAAGTTCTAACAAAACTCCTCCAGCCCTTCTATTGTTTTCCAGTATACTCTAGACCTCCTGCCCATGTCCAACAAGCAGACCTCATCGAAACAGCCCCATCCCACCACGGAGGTCTGTCTTCTCCGCCCCCCGAAGCCTCGGAGGATGATGAAGAGCTCCTCGGCCTTGGCTCCATCCTGAAAGACCATGGTGCTCGGACCTGCCATTTCTCGGTCCGCAGATGGACCGGGGTCGTTTGAGGACGTTGGTGGTCCCCACGATTTGGCCCAGCCATTCGTTTGCACATTGACGAACTGCTTCTTCCCATGAAGGCAGTGGTTGATTCACACAACAGGGTGACCCAAATAGAGGCGATGGCATCGAATGGGACATTGGCGGAGTGTGTGGGTGTCTGTGTGTGTGTGCTCAACTAATGCATGCATGTGATGACCGGAAATGTTCGAAAATTCCTTGGCTTGGGGCCTTGGGGCTCTCTTTGTGGGTGTCCTTCACACAGGGAATCCAGGAATGACTCTTCGACTCTGCATGTACTCTTTCAATCGACTACCGAATCCTGCCGCGTGTGGCGCAATCAGGTGTCCACTGTCTGTCCGTTGAAAATATGAAAGGTGCTCGATGGTTCCCAGCTGGCACACGGAAAGCAAGGTCGGTTTTGTTCCACTTGTACTGGCATCTGTGCAATCTAGCAGGAAGGCTGAGCACACCAACTTCCAGTGACGTGACCGGTGACAAGGTTGCACTGATTACCAAACACTGTTAAAGTATGTTAAAGTGCTGTCCGTTGACATGTCTTTTACGGCTCGGAAATCCCTACAGAATGATTTCTTCCATCAGGCACTCTTGCTTCCTTCAGAAGCCCTGACCAGCTTTAAAGCGAGACCTAAAATGAGGCACAGTCCAAAAAAGTCTGATACCAAGGCCACTATGCTACTAGCATGAATTCAACGAGGCTCGTCCAATGGCCTACAATTCAACGAAGCATTGTTTCTTGCAGAGTTTCTCCTGGAACCCAGTCCCAACTACACGAAGCATTTCGAGCTAGCTGAAGGCGCAAATAGCCCGAGCCACTTGGCTGCCGCAAGATCAAGTTTTGGCATGCATCCTTCTGGATCGCCTCCAGCGTTGCGGAAATTACCATCTTTCAGTTCCAGTGGATCAAGGGCAGAGTTGAATGTGGAAAATTACAAAGTAGAAGCCGTTTGTCTACCTAGTCTACCTATAGATATCTGTATATGCGCCATTGTTGTAACTTGCAACCAATTCCTTGGGAAAGACTAGAATTAATTAGACGAGTTTGATTCGCAATTTTTAGATTTGATACTTTTTCACTGCACCCCTCCCCCGGCCTTGGGGGCCCAAGTCTGATTTGCCCCTCCAAAGGGCCACAGGGAGTGGGTAAACTAATGTTTCGGGACACCGAAGCTTTGGATACCAAGAGACTGAGAGTAGTGCATTTTTATCCTTGGCCTAAACATGGCAAGTAGATGTAAGTAGCTGTTTAGGAACTATCAGTGGCAATAGGATGCACCCCCAAGGTCAATACATGTCAATACATCGCACCCACATAACCTCCAAGTAGAACCAGGGTCAATACCCGGCTGTCCTCCGAAAGGTTCCAGAAGAGCGTGCCGCGGCCCGATGGCCCACTGTGTATCAGCTCTCCTGATGCGGTGACCAATCCACATGACCTCAAAACTACTATTAGGTTCTACAATATTAATGTATATTCTGTGTTCGATTCGGAAGAGGCATGAGTTGTTGAAGTGATCGCAATCATAGAAGCTATGACTCTAGAAGAAATTCACATCATGTGAAATCAGTTCGAATCAAAAGTCGAGAGAAGATCTCGATGCACAAGCGCCTCTGCTGGCACTTCCCAACCTGGTCGTGAGCATCAGCAATGGCTGAGATCGACAGCGCGTGTGCCAGGGAATGTTACCCTTCCCTCTCCAAAAAACACGTGAAGTGGAGCATGGGCGTTCTTTTCAGGCCATATTTGCAGAAAGGATCAGAAAGGAGGGTATTCGAGGGTGTTCACGTATTGTGGAAATCAGTGGGTTGACCATGATAGGCCTATTTAAAAGTGCAAAGCGACTGTATAGTAAAAAATTGACTGGGTTAGGGCATGCCACAAAGCACCATCACTTGGACTTGACTGATTGAATCAGTTGCTATGCAGCAGTTTTTTTTCTACAGTGACTTCGACTTCAGACAAGATCATCCAAGTCCGATCTTCGTTTTTTGTGCTGTGCCACCAACTTCTCAACTCTTCCACCTGGTCTTTGGCGCTTGCGGGCCCAATAGATTCACTTCACCGGTTTAGCATCCACAAACACATGAGACCACCGTTGGAGCATCTAGGAGCAAGGACGCTACTAGGGGCTCCTGGCCTTACTACTAGGAGCAAGAAGCTACTAGGAGCAAAGGGCATCGCTACTAGGAGCAAGAAGCAACTACATAGGAACGTCCACAAGGCGTTCACTTCGCCATCCGGTCCGAGGGCGTTCCTTCGCTCAGCCAGGCAGCACAAAGTAGCGGAGCTTCTGGAGCTCGTCGTCGGACCGGTGGCCGCAGGTGGTCTGTGCGGCCGCCCAGGCCTGGTGAGTGGTACTTGATGCACCGGTACAAAGTAGCAACACACCACCTTAGGGAAAGGTTCTGAAAATATTCAAATTGTCTAGCTACTTCTCTAGCTCTATCCGGAGGGCTTCAGTCTTCTGGAAGGTGCTTTGATGGAACTCATAGTCAACTGTGGGATATCTGCCAAGTGTCATCATTGATGTTTCTGAAGATGAGGAGACCCTCCACCACTGGATGGTCTTCCACGTTTCTGCCAGAAGGATTCCCTTGCCCCCAGCCGTCCAACTTGCATCAAACAATCTAGATTTGTCTCCGCGGCCAAACCCTCCGCGGCCTGGGGACGTCCCCATGTCGAATTAAATCCACAGGGATCCAGAAGTCATGTGAGCTGCCCGCCCTGGCACCTTCTCTGTGAGCTGGACGCCCATGACATGCTGCCGCCGCGAAAACCGTCGGAGACCAGGTGGGGATAGTTTAGTTCTCTCCAGCACCTAGCAAGCTTGACAAGCTGTGGATATACGTAAATCCTAAATCCATGCACCTCAGAACATCGGTGACGGGGACATTGGGATTCCAAACAGGACAACTACGTGCCTGGCTGCGCTTGATGAGAAGGCTACAGCCTAGAACCCCCAGAAAGCTATGGTACATTCGCGAAGTTGTGATGTAGTGAAGCTTGCATGGATTATATAAACATGATGTGTTCAATGTTACACTGCCTGGACCCTTCGTCAGGTCGTTGTGACAACTAGAAGACCCATATACGTTTTGAGGGATGACAGTTGAGGGCGTATGGAGGTCCCATTTTTTGTAGTGTTTCGTTAAAGAAAATGATAATATAGTATAATACAATATACAAGTATATACATGTTTGAACAGAATTGTTGTATTTCTCCACATTTATTCTATCTTCTTGGCAGAACTCTTCATAAGGATTTGTGAGTCTTGTTTGATCTTGAACCCGTCTCAGCCTTGATTCTGCTTGATTCAGTGATGGCGCGTGATGATGTGATGACGGTCTGGTCGTTCCATCTGTCGATTCCTGATCTCCTGGAAACCTGGGCAAGACCGAGCCACTGGGCAACCTTGATCCACACAGCTTGCAAGGGTGTTCTGGGCCCAAAGATGACCAGAGACCTTAGATGGTCAGGTCAATCGTCAATCCGTTGCACACCAGGTGTTTACGATTGCAGGAGACTCGCCCGTCATACAGGAAACTCAGACTAGACTCATAGCATGTCACTGTAGAATCCCACCCTGTGGAAAGAGCTACAGTATCCATGAGTGTCATCGAGTGCCTGACGGCCTTCAACAACCCAACGGCTGGAACAAAAGGAGTAATAACTGTCATCCGACCATCCTGCTTGCTGATGAACAAGAGAGATTCTACCTGCCCCTACCCTACCCTACCCTACCCTACCCTACCCTGCCCTGCCCTACCCGCCACCAATCTGATGTACAGTAATGGCTGGAAATGTCCGTAGCATTCCCACTCTGAAAAGAAACTCCGAGTGGTCCCCAGGTGATGGGGGTGTGGTCCAGCTGGTGCCGTCGTGAACTTGGGTCCGACGGATGCTTACCAATTAGGGGCGTTTGCGACGACCTGCAAACAGAACCTAACAGCCTTCGGCAATATACAATCATACGATATGCAAAATACATGACAAGGAGGTTTGCCAGTTTGCCACCTGTGGTCTTAGCAGTCTGCCTGGACTCAGCAGTGTGTCTCACTCCGGTGCCAGAACCCAAGGGGTTCCCACGCGGCGAATTCCGTCTTCCCACGGCGAATTAAGTCCTGGGTATAGGTCGACCGTATTGTGTTTAAATAAAGGAGAGCTAGGAACAACCCAGAAGCTTTGACAAATGGTATTTATGATTGATGTATCATTGAATCATGTGTCCTATCTCTTCCTAAGGATCTTTGGGTTTCGCCCTATTCTGAGACTAACACATGTCCATTTCAACACCAGCTTTTCCGCATTGGCTGAGATAAAAGATCAGCAAGGCTGGACCCATCACTCTGACTAGAAGCTCAGGGGACAGTGTTCGAAGTGTTCGTTCGTTGGAGAAGCAGCTTCTTGCTACTAGTAGTAAGAATGCTCGTAGTAGCGATGCCAGGAGCCCCTAGTAGCTTCTACTTCTTGCTACTAGTGCAAGGCTGGACTTGTCCTCAAAACGGGTCCAGCCCCGGTCTCCGCTGTCTCAGGCCCATTTTGGGCCCGGAAATCCTCAGGGCCCGCAACCACGCCTCTGCGGGGTGCAGGCGGGGCAGGGGCAGGGCGGGGGTGGTCATCTGTCTTGAGGGGTTCGACCTGCCAAGGACTCATATAAAGTTAGTTACATGATGTTACATGTGTCAAATTTAAACCTATATATTATATACATAAATGCCAGATGAGCCAACTCAGATGTTGCTTCAAGGCTCGGGAACTTCCCAACCCGATTCTGCTGCGACACAAATTTGGCAGATTAACTTTAAAAAATCCAAACAAACACTCAGAGCGATTCCTTTGATAGATCTCTTTGACCATCTGAGCGATCCCCAAGCGTCTTCACACAGTCCCGATCTCTATTTTCCCACATCATTCCACAAAATACACCCACATCTCCAACAAATCCTGCTGACTTTTCTGTGTGGGCTACAGTACATATCTTTAGGCCCAACTGAACTCCTGACTCTCAATCCTCAAAACCGTTGATTACAGTAACATCTATATATACAGTACATATGCTACAGAATGTTCTGCAAAGGAATTCGCAATCAGAGTATCCTTCCCACAACCACACATGGACATATGTACAAGTTACTAGTGACCTCAGGCATGTCTATCCCAAAGCAACCATAGTCAGGAATTTGACCCGTCCTTCCATTCCTGGATCCATGAAATCCACCAAAATCCTCCCATCCAAAATTACGGTCAAGCAATACAATTCACTAGAAATCGACTACAAGTCCTAGAGTCCTTTCTGAGTCACAAGAAATCCAACTGTTGTGTTCACCCCCATCGATCCCAAAAAAGAAAATACGCCTCAAAAGCCGCCATCTTGACGGTCCTTTGGTGACGGTCCCGGACCTCGGACCACGCTGATCCGGACTCACCGGGTTTCTGGAACTCCCGGGGAGAGCGGTCAAATCAGGTACCTACCTTTCTCCCACCCTTGAAGCGCCCAACTCCAAGCGCGGCTTGCCAGCGCTTTCCGTCATCCAACCTTAACCCACCCACCCCTTTCATCGCTTCGTGCCAGCAACTCCCTGCACGGTTCCAGCATTTTGCGGTATCAATCAGGAACACTTCATTGAAAAGGAACACGTGTCGGGACTTGCGTGTTGGGGCTAGAATGATCCTCTATACAAGCCCTCACGGACGCCGCAACTGTTTATCACCCACCGAGACGAATTTCGGGCTGGGAGAACACATCGAGAACATATGAGAAAACCGATGTGTTCTCACATGTCTCCTCTACGTGGAGGATTTCAAGTTCTGTAGCAACGAGCATCCTTAGGGGACAGGTCTTGGTGCATGTATCGCATGTCCAATCGCATTGGCCATGGATTGG